GGTGTCAAGAGGAATTCAAGGTTAGGACAGAACTTTATGAGATGGAAACTAAAAGAACGTAGAATCAATCAGGCATAAAACTGGCTCTTAGGAATGATAAACACGATTGACGGATGTGTGTGTGTGTAAGTGTAAAGGGGGAGGGTGGACAACTCAAATTAATCTAGTTAGAGATGAAAAAGAGATGTTAAAATCGATTCCAAAGTCCATAGGGTCATAGGTAATACTTGGAAGGCTTACAGTACAGACAAACAGCTCTGGAAAAATCTAGAAGAAATGGATATATTACTACAAGCACATGGCCTACCAAGATTAAATCAAACATAGATAAACAATATAAACTGATCCACAGCAGTCAGCAAGGCTGAAACAGTAATTAAAAGCATTCTAACAAAGAAAATTCCAGAACCAGGTGTAGTCACTGCTGAAGAAGAGCTGATACCAATGTTCTTCATACTGTTCCATAAAAATATGAATGGGAAGGAACATTACCACGTTCATTCTATGAGGCCAGTACTACCCTGATACTAAAACCAGATGATAATAACCTCCTCCCCCCCACACACAGACAGACAGAGGTAGAGAGACACAGAGAGACATAAAGAGAGACAGAGAGATAGACAGAGACAGAGACAGAGGAAAAAACTATAGATCTATTGCCCTGATGAAAAAAAGATCATATGGTCTCAATAAAATTCTTGTGAATTTAACTCAAGAACACATTAAGAAGATCATACACCATGTCCAAGAGTGGTTCAACATATGCAAATCAATAAATGTCATGCAGCACATATGTATACTCAAGGACCAACCTCCCCCACAAAAAAAACCAACCAACCAACCAACCAAACAAACAAAAACCACAGGATCTTTGTAATAGATACAGAACAAACCTTTGAGAAATATCCCTTTGTGAATGAAATAGTTCTTCATGAAGAAATTAGAAAGTGAAGGCTCATAGCACAATTTAGTAAAGGGTCTATATGGAAAGCTACAGCCAACATTGTACTATATAAAGAGATGTAAAGGATCCCCCCAAAATCAGGAACAAGGAAGGTTCTCACCATCCTTAATGTGTTTGAAGTCTTGCTAGAGAAGTAAGATATGGAAGAAATAAAAGGGTTAAAAACAGGAAAAGATGAAGTCACATTATATCTGTGTGCATATCACATGGCCACATATTTTAAGACTCTAAAGATTATTTCAGAAAACTCTTAGATGTGAGAAATAATTTCAGCAATGTAGCACACACAAAGTTAACTTATGAGAACGAGCAACTTTTCTATATATCAATAATGCATTTGCTAAGAAAGACATCAGAAAATCTCATTTGTTAATAGCTTTAAAATGCCTAGATAAAATAATCTTAAATCATTAAAAATGACTACCAATAAACCTAACCAAGGGGGTGAAAGACATCTACAATGAAAACTTTAAGATGCTAAAGAAAGAACCTGAACAAAGTACTAGAAGGTAGAAAAACCTTCCATGCTCGCTCTTGAGGACACTGGAAAAGTTAAACACTGTGGAATGCCTAGTTACCAAAACTGATCTATGGATTCCACACAGTCGCCACAAAAATTCCAGTGTCATCCTTCACAGAAATAGAAAAATAAAAAGTACAAAACGTAACATGAGACACAAAAGAGTCAAAGCAATCTCTATCGGAAAGAGCCATCATGGAGGCATCACAAGCCCTGATCTCAAAATACACCATAGTGCCATAGTAACAGTCTACAGGAAGGGAAGCATGTGGAACAATGGGATAGAATAGGGGAAATGGATACAAACCCACACAACTATAAAGACAACCAAATCTTCAACAAATGTGTCCAGAATGTATACCCTGGACACGAGATGACATTGACATTAAAAAAACAAAATAGTTCTGGAAAAACTAGATTTTTCACACGTAGAAGGAGGGACTAGATCCGTATCCTGCACCTTGAACAAAATCAATCCAAAACTGATCAAAGACCACAATTAGTAGCACCAGAACCCTGGCTGCTAAAGGAAAACATTTCTAGATACAGGCATAAGCAAGGACCTTCTTAAAGGGACCACAGGACCTAGGAAGTAATTCTAAGAATTGACAAGTGGGATTGCCTGATCATAAAAAGTTTCTATACAGAGGCTACTTGTTGGGGAGGACATGAGCCAGCCAAAGAGTGGGCTTGGAGGACAGGAAGGTGAAGTGGGGGAGGGGGATGGGTAAGAGCACACATGTAAGAAAATTTCATAACAGATTCCATTAGTTCATATGCTAAGTAAAAACCAAAAAAATTAAAAAAGAACTATCATATGATCCAGCAACTCTGTTTCTGGTTATATACTCAAAAGAAGTAAATGTACACACATAGATATCTGCGTATCTGTAGAAATATTATCTACAATAGCAGCCAGAAGGCATAATGATGTCATGTCCACTGACTGATGAACATATCTGTACACACACCTTAGTACCGACACAGGCTAGATCAGGAGGAAATCTGAAAACATTACGCTAAGTGAAATTTATCTGTTAGCAAAGGGCAAAGGTCCCCAAATAGTCAAAATCCTGGAAAGGCAGAGAGAAGGATGGTGATTCCAAGGGGCTGGGGGTGGGGTGAGGAGATTCAGTCTAAGGAGATGAGAGCGATGGCCCCTGTGCAATGGTTACAAATGCACTTAAACAGTTACAATGGCATGTGTTACATAAAATGTCAATGGCAAGTGTTTCACTATCTGCACTTTATCACTAATAACAGCAGAAGGAGATGTGGACAATGGTTCATTATCTACGAAACATGAATGGCCTTTATGGGAAGAACAGCATGATGCTTAAAGATGACATAGGGAATTCCCTTCTGTGTTTGATTTTTAAAGAAGTCATATCTCTGTATGAAGTCATCTGTAAGAGACTTTGGGGCTCCTAGACTTCCTCTGCAGAGACTTCTGTGTGTGTGTATGGGAGGCAGAGCTCCACAGTCTCTGGAGAACAGAACGGTTAGGTCATGTCTGGAAGAGTCCGTAGGATGGAAACGATTGGCTTGACCAAAATTGGCAGTTACAGCTGCTGGAGGGAAAAACATTCTGGGCTTTGCCTCATTCACAACAGAACTGAGCCTCTCTGGAAAGTGAGCTAACAGTCATCTCTCTTTCCACTTACTTGGAACATTTTGGAAGAACATGCAAAACTCAAAACCAAAATTCAAACCTGCCTGCCTAGTTGAGAACAGAAGCTGTGAATTTTAAAGATGGCTTCCCACGGGATGCTTGCCCATGCCTGCTCCCGCTCCATGGAGGGAAGGAAGGAGGAAGGGAGGGAGGGAGGGAGGAAGGGAGAGAGGGAGGGAGGGAAGGAGGGAAAGCATCAATGAACACAGACAAAGTTATCCAAAGGCAGACCCCCAGATGGCCAACAAGGTCATCTTGAACATTCGAAGCCAAGGGACTTTGTGCTCTGGGGTCACTTGGAACCTAGCTCTGAAATAAGTAATGTGTGACCTTCCAGACATCATCTTCTTAAAGCTCAGACTCCGCACTGATTGAAGGAAACAAGGGAAGCATCCCTAAGCCACAGAATAAAACCAAGCAGTCCCAAACTTCAGGACTGCTCAGTTATGTTATTATGGGCTGCAGAAGGCAGAGAAGAAATTCTCAGGGACAGTCCTGGGGGCCATTTCAGAGGCTTTGCTTACCAGCCGTCATTAGCTAGCACGGTCCTGATCGGCTTTGGACTCAAATTCAAACAGTGTTTACATAAATAGGGGTCATGTGATAGCTCCCTTCTGAAGGCTGGGCATGGTAGAACACAACCTGTAACCCAGCCTTCTAAGGCCAAGGCAAGAGAATCCTGTCTTGAAAGAGGAAGGAAATCAAAATCTAGAGGTAATTTTTTTTTTTCAAAGCCCGTTCTCCAGATTCACTTAAATGGTTCATCCTATGTCTCCAGTGACCCTGTCCCTAGTAATTAAAAGCTGAGCAAATTCGTTCCTCAGTAGTGGTAAGTGGAAGGGGGGAGCTCTGGTTTGAGTGTGTCCCCCAAGGCCCTTGTGTTGAATGCAAACCCAGTCCCTAAACCGTGTTTATGGTCATTTTAGGTGGGGCCTTTGGAAGTAATCAGGGCTGGATGAGGTCATGAGGGTGGTGTCCCCATGATGACATTAATGGCTTTATAAGAACAACAAGAGGACTCAGCCGGCACTCTGGCTCTCTCTCTTCCTGGAATGTTCTCCCGTGTCATGGTGCACAAGAAGGGTCCTCACCAGATGCTGAGCAAGTGTCAGCACCACCTGCCTGGACTTCCCATTATCTAGAACCAGGAGGTGCATAAAACCTTCATAGGTTACTCTGCCTGTGACCATAGAGCCTTCATAGGTTCCTCTGCCTGTGACCATAAAGCCTTCATAGGTTCCTCTGCCTGTGACCATAAAGCCGTCATAGGTTTCTCTGCCTGTGACATTTGGTTAGAACAGTAGAAAGATGCCCTGAGACGGGGAGGAGATTGTATCTCCGAGAGGGTAAGGGAGCTCATATATGTAGCATCTCCTGGTCCTGGGTGACAGAGCGGGAAGCATGAGGGAGGGAAGCTCGCCGTGGTTGTAAAGCACCTGTTGGGACTGAAGAGGACGCTCAGATAGGGGAAAGGGCTGTTATTTACTCAGGATGACAGCTAGGATGAAGGCGTTGAGAGCCTTTTTTTTTTTAATTTTTTTTTTTAAAAAAACCTGCAACTACCTTTGATGTCATCATCTCCTTCAGCTCTGGTCTGGGGCACAGAGAATGGGTACCGGGTTTTTTATCTGTTTGCATGAGCACTGATGGCAGGAATCTTCTGGGAAAGAGCCTTCGAAGGCTGTGAGTGCACACGGTAGGGCATCCACCGCGAACCTGACCAGGCCTGTGAAAGCCTGGGGTACCAGCGACAGGAGCATCAGGTCCCAGAGCACCATTTTAAGGAAAAGAAAGGGGCCAGGCTGGGACCGTGCCAAATAGGCATCTGTCCCATTCCAACCTACTTGACTTGCCGTCCAGTCCTGCTGACTTCCGAGGGCTGCCTGGCGTCACAGGACCCGGGCATCATGGGCTGGATAGGCTGGCTCAGCAACAGCCTTTGAGCAGAGAAAGAGCAAAGGGATATTACAGTCAGCACTTGGGATGGCTTAGTTTTTGCTGTCACCCTGACACAATCTGGAGTCACCCGGCAGGAGAGCCCCAACGAGGAGCTGTCTACACTGAGTTGACCCGCCGCGGGCATGTCTTGGGAGAGGCTGTCTGAAATGAATTGCCATGGCCAGCAGCATCATTCTCTAGACAGGGCTCCTGAAATGTTTAAGGGTGGACGGATCAAGTTGAGTGCAAGCAAGTAGCATGCAGGCATTCCTTTCTCTGTGCTTTTGACCGTGGGAGTGATTTGACATGTCACGTCCCTGCCTCAACTTCCCCACGGTAATGGACTGTGTGTGGCCTGGAGCTGTAAACTGAAGAAAACGCCTTTCTCGCCCAAGTCTCTGTTTAGGTAGAGTGTCTTACTACAGAAACAGAAACTAAACTAGAACGGTGCCCAAGCCCGCGGCCCCCAACGGACGGCAGGACTATGAGCCACACAATGGGTGCTGCCCCTGACCTTCAGGACCCCAAGGCCTTCCCTGCTGTCACCTTAGCTGAGACCAACCAGGGAAGCCTGGGAGTTTGCTGTGCGGGAGGGAAAGCAGAGATGGCTCCTTCTTGTCCTCTCAACAAGGTGGTTTCATACCTGAGCTGCCGATCGTGGCTGAAGTCAGGGCTGGGCTGGCACTGGCTGGCATCCTGAGATGTGGGAGCAGCCGTGGTGAGACTCAGGCCTGGCGGGAGGACGGCCTCTGCGCTGGTGAACTGGGATGGCAGGTTGCTCATGGACCGGCCGCCTCCGGCAGGCAGAAGCTGTGAGCCTCTCATTGGCTTTGGACCCTGGAGCATCGTTTAACGAGAGAGAGAAAAAGCTCAGACTCAACCAGACCCATCGCTTTGGGAAACCCCTTAGAACTCCCACCTACTACTGACTTGGGCCTCGCCTCTGAGGTGGGACCAACCAGCTGTGCAGCCAACTGCTTTTTATTCGGAATATCTTTCCCACTGGACCATAAACACCTTGGAGATTCTTAAAAGCTCACGGCCAGTGCCAGGCTTTCTGCAGAACTGAACCATTGAACTGAGATTTTTTTTTCTTCCTTACAATTTTTTACCTCATAAACAAAGAGCTCTTTGCTGCTTCTCTGCCTCACCAGGTTCATGTCTGCCTCAGGGCCGTTGAGGATGCTGATCCATCTTTGCGAAATGTCCTCCTACTGGACGCTGATAAAGCTGACTCTCACCTCCCACCCCAAAGGCTTTTCTGACACACGGTCCTCCCAGGAAGGCCTCTTCTGGCCATCTCCTGCCCGGCATTCCCGTGCCGCCCTCTGACACACGGTGGTATGTGCTCACGTGTCCCTGTTCCCGCCACGCACTGGGGTGTTCCTCTGTCACTCACGGTAGGCCTTGCAGTGAGCCTTCAACAAGTCTCTGCTGACTCACATGACGAGTGAATGAGGTGGCCGCCCGGCCCCGACCTTTCTTCTCCGTGACACTGAGTGGCCACGCCTATGGTGCCGTCTTAAGGCTTTACATCTTAGGTTTTACAGCATCTTCTAGTATCTGTCTAAACTCTTCCTCAGTTTCTGCCCTTCCAAAATCCCCTCGGCCTGTTCTCACCCGTTAGTTTTGTGTTTTGTTTTGATGACCCTTTCAAATTAAAAGGCCATGTTTTTAGGCAAAGCTCTTAATTTGTTTAAGGATGAACTGAGCTCCTTTTTTAAAAATATTTTTTCAGATTAAAATTTTTATTTTATGTGCACTGGTGTTTTGTCATGGGTCCCCTGGAATTGGATTTACTCTCAGTTGTGAGCTGCCAAGTGGGTGCTGGGAATTGAACCTGGGTCCTCTGGAAGAGCAGCCAATGCTCTTAATCACGGACTCATCTCTCAGCCCCCTAAGCTCCTGTCTATGTGGATTTGTACCTGGGAAACATCATATCTGTACTGATTGTGTACAACTGTTCTGTCATCCCCAGGTAACAATAATTTCCATAGCTCTGGTGTTATTTTGGACACTATGGATCATCTATGGGGCTGGAGAGCAGGCTCAGCAGTTAGGAGCACTGGCTGCTCTTCCAGAGGGCCCAGGTTCAATTCCCAGCATTCACATAGTGGCTCACAAACATCTGTAAATCCATGTCCAGGGGGATCTGACATCTTCTTGTGGCTTCTGTGGGCACCAGGCATGCAGTGCACAGACACACATGCAGATAAAACACCCATACACATGAATTTAAATGAACAAACAAACATCTAAGATGAGTTAAAACGTGAAGGGGTCTGGCAGGTTGCACAGTGGTACAGTGTTTTAGTGGCATCTGAGAAGACCCCAGTCCGACCCCCAGCATTAACAGATAACTGAATAAATTGTGTAGGAGGATGCTTGCACATCTTGTGCAAACACTGTAGATGGGGGACTTGAGTCCCTTCAAGTTTTGGCATCCACGGGTGGATGCCACCATCCCACGTGGATCTGGAGGGGTGGCCACTTATCCATCCTGGGCTGTGCACTGTCTGGCCTAGTTCCCGGATTCACCTCGGGGTCTACAGTGTCCCTCCTTATTGTTGCTACCCAGGGAACGGAAGCTCGCTAGAGCCCATTGTGTGGATGTGGGGACATCATCTGCCGTCTACACCAGGGTTTCCCGGAAGGAGGACTCAGGACTTAACCCCGCTCCCTTCAAGTGTCATTTACCACGAGTGCCCTGGGCAGATTATTGTGAGGTCGCACTGAGCGGCATTGGCTGCAGGAGAAGGGGTTTAGCATGAGGCCTTGGGGCAAGGGACAATGAACAGAGGTAGCTATTCACACGGCATCGATGAGAAAGGACGTGTGTGTAGGGGCGTAAGGCCCACGTCCGAAGTACAGAAAGGAAAACAATACAGCTCAGACCCTCAAAATGGCCTGACAATAACAGTTTAAAAAAAAAAAACAAAAAACAAAACAAAACAAACAAACAAACAAACAAAAAATCTGACTGTACTCTTGGACCCCTAGTTCAGACAAAGGTGTACAGGTTTCCAGAATTTGACCGCTGCTGGAATCAAGTGCAACTCAGCCTGTAAGAGTGCGTCTACCCCAGCGGTAAGGACAGGGTGTGGACGAGGACACTGTACCTGGGCGGCTATCACGTCCGAGTCTCTGAGCAGGTGCTGGTTTGTGACTTGGGTCGACGGGATCTGCCCCGGCAGTGCAGAGTCCACCGCAAGCTGGGGCTGAGCGGCCGAAGCCCTTTGCTGCAGCTGCTGCTGAGCTGCTGGTCGCTGGGCACTGTTGAAGCTCAGGGACACGGCGGGCTGCTGCAGAAACATCTGGGGACAGAGGAGAAATGCCCGTGAAGTGAGGGCCATGTGGGCTTCACACATGTCCACCTGCATTGTCTCCCTTGTCCCTGGGGAGGAAGGAAAACACCCGGAGTCCTTGACACACTTAAAAGAAAGATTCCCTGACTCAGCATCAGACAGCGTGGGCCAACACACTTAGATATGGTGTCTGGGTCCAAGAGACCTTGTCCCTGCCTTCCCGAGGGTCACAGTTAAGTGACTGTATTCTGACAGCGCCAAAGAGGCCTGCATCTAGGTTTTCTATGCACAAGCCGATATGCTTCTGAGGTCCAAGTTGGCCATGTCAGTGTCACATTAGACGGGAGAGGCCCTTCTACTAATGGTGGGAGAGGGCATGGTGTGTATGGCTCTTGTCATACTTGGTCAGAGTAGGGCTGGGTCTTACGGCCGACCTTGAATCTCTCTGCCCAGCGACCAGGGTTTCTCATTTGTACTGAATTTGGGAGCTTTCAATACAGGGCTGAAAGGAACCCTGCTTCCTTCCAGGGGGCAGGTGACGACAGCCTTCCAGGGGGCAGGACAATGGAGCAGAGGTTGATGCGCCGCCTGGTCCACACCTTTAAAGCTACGCTCGTTTTATACTCATGCTTTGCTACATAAGCCACCTCAGACATCATTAGCTTTAAGAAAAGGCTAAGTGTTCACGAGGATCCTGATTTAGTTCAGTTTCTCCCGCACGCAGCCCATCTCCAGACTCACCCAACCTCAGATCAAAGCGGCCTAGGAAAGGGTTGCATCTGCACTGAACCAAGTGTGGGCGTTTGACCTGTCATGGCTTCCTAAACAATGTCTAAGCGCTTACATTGCTGTAGGCGTACGGACAACCTAGAGATGACCTAAGGCAGGGGTGGCCAACCTTTTGGCCTATCTGGATCACACTCTGTCTTGGGCCACATAAAGGCATCTAATGAGTGTGGGGTTATTTTGTGTGAGGGGGGGCAGGATGTTGCCATCTACAGAGTTTGAGAGCCATGCGATGATAAGGTTGCAGAAAAACCAGTTAAACATTCAAAACGTTTTAAATGAGCTTAAGGCTTTGTGTTGACTGAGGGCTCGCAGCTGTGGGCTGGATACCCTTAATTTAAAGGGAGGACATGGGCCTGTTCTGTGAAGCCACGCTGTGTTGCAAAGGGTCTTGAGTCCCCGTGGATTTTAGTGTCTCTGGGGATTCTGGAATCAGTTTCCCTGGACACAGAAGGACAACTGGATCTCATCTCAATCAGCTGTTTAAGTGCTTTGACAGGTCTTCTTTCCTTTGGCTTTTAAGTTTTCTGTATAGAGTGCACAGGATGTCTGAAAGTTTTGGATATTTGAACTATTACATTGGTATTGGCTCTGGTAGTTAATATGGATTATTCAGTTTGTTCAACTTGTAAACCGATTAAACAAAACTGTGAAAGCAGTGCCATTTTATGACCCAGTCAGAGTTGCAAGAAAAAAAAAATACAGTCTATAGGTTGAGTCTAAATGTTGAAGAAAAAAAAAACCTTAATAATCTTAATAATAAGTTAACCTAAAGCATGTAAGTACTTCTTTTAGCCTAAACTCTTGGGCGTTGAACGCGTGTACTGATGATCTCTGGCCTGACCCCTGCCGTACATGCCCCATTCCGAGCTCTTAGCTGTGTAGTCTTTAGGGAGGGGCTGCTCTTCCTTGCAACATGTAGTAGACTGAGTTGCAGTTGAGAACCAGAGCAGCACAAACATATATTCATCTCAGAGCGGCAGACTCACACTCAGTGGGTGCCTCAGGGATCTGGGGAGTCAGGGGACCCTGCATCCTGCAGCTGCTGGGAGGGGCAACCCCAGCTGCTTTCAAAGATAAAGCTGACCCACCGGTCCCTGACCCTGAGGGCAGCAGGAGGTTCGGATCAGACACCCTTTTTACCTCACCAACACACACAGCTTATCTCAACCAGAAGTCTGCAGTTGTGAAATGGAAGCTCTTGATTACTTTAGGGGCTAAAAGATTTTTTTTAAAAAAAATATACTTTATTATCTTTAATTAAGTATTTAAAAATTTTTATTATTATCTTTTGGGGGCGGGGTTTGCCTGTGTAACAACCCTAGCTATCCCGGAACTTGCTCTGTAGACCAGGCTGGCCTTGAACTCACAGAGATCAGCCTGCCTCCCGAGTGCTGGGATTAAAGGCATGCGCCACCTCCGCTGGGCTAATATATAATTTTTAATTATGTGTATGTGTCTCTGTGTGGATGTTGTCATGTGAGGGCAGGCGCCAGGAAGGCTAGGAGAAGTTAGTTGCCAGATCCCCTGAAGTTGGAGTTACAGGTGACTCCTCACTGCAATGCCTGACATGGGTGTTGGGATCTGAACTTGGGTCTTCTGGAGGAGCAACAGGTGCTCTTAACTTCTGAGCCATCTCTCCAATCCTCCACCCCTTTTATTTGAGGCAGAGTCTTACCATGTAACCCTAGCTGGCCTAGAAACAGTCATGTAGACCAGGCTGGCCTTGAACTCAGAGATCTGCTTACTTCTGCCTCCCGAGTGCTGGGATTGCAGGCGTGTGGCTCCGAACCCAGCAAGAGGAATTTCTGGGTACCCATCACCACAGATTCAGTACCCACACGCTCCAGCATTAGTGTTCTACACGATTTCAGCTGTCTCAGCGTGAGGTTCGCGAACACCACATGGGATGAACAGTATCTTCTATAGCCTCAGCAAAAACCTCATGCTCCATTCCAATAACTACATTCCTTTCAGCAGGATATGATACACTTGCTGCCCAAGGTCACGTTGATGCAAGGTTCATTGTGTCGGGCATTATATTTACCTTAAAGACAGCATACCTGAACAGCAAATGAAGAGCTGACTCCGGGCACCATTCATAACTTTTTCAACGGTCTGACTCCCTCGTTCATACGACACTCACTGTGCCAGCTAGGGTTACCGCTGCCGTGAGAAAACACCACAACCAAAAGCAAGCCTCAGTTTCCCTGAATAACCAACCCCGTTAGTCCCGGGCCTGTAACTGCTACTGAGGCTGCACCTTCACCAATGGCCTCTCATGGGCGTGGCTCAGCCGTTCCCTATAACTTCAAAACCAGTGCCACCTGGGTGGCTCCTAACTACCAGTTTAGCTGCCGGCACAACCACCTTTGCTGGCCCGGGAACACAGCTTCAGGGTGCTGACTGAGGAAACACTTGGAAGATTTCACCTCAGGGATGCTGGGCTCTTCCTAACAACCGCTCACTTCTCAGCTCCAGCTGGCCAGCATCCCCGCAAAGCAAAGGTTGTGGTCTCTTGTTAATTACAGCCGATTCTTCGGCCCCAGGTGAGCAGACACCACAGGTTCTTCACACAAACGGCCTGGAGGAATCTTTGCCTCCCTCTGCGACCTCACAAGCCAGGCCTCCATCCTCTGAATTTCTCTCAACATTACCTTTCAGGCTCCCACACAACAGCTCAGCAAGCTTTGAACACTCAGTGACTTTTCTAAACCAAAGTTCCAAAGTCCTTCCACATTCCTTCCAAACGCACACGGCCAGGTCTGTGACAGCAACACCCCACTGCCTGGGTACCAGTTTCTGTCTTAGATATTGCTGCGCTGGGACACCATGACCGAAAACAAGTAGGGGAGGTAAGTTAGCTTACATTTCCACACCACGGTTCACCACGGACAGGAGCTCAACCAGGGCAGGACCCTGGAGGCACGAGCTGATGCAGAGGCCATGGAGGGGAGCTGCTTACCAGCTTGCTTGCTCTCATGGCTTGCTCGGCCTGCTTCCTTATAAACTAGAGCCACCACCAGCCCAGGGGCGGCCCTAACTACAATGAGCTGGGCCCTCCCCATCACTCACTAATTAAGAAAGGCTGGCCTACAGCCGCGTCTTAACGGAGTTATTTTCTCAGTTGGGGTTTTAATCCTTTAGTTTGTGTCAAGTTGACACAAAACCGGTTGAGCACAGTGACTCTGACAGCGCAAACCTCATAAAGGCCTGATGAAGCCAGTGCGTATTAAGTACTTAGGACGCAGTACGTGCTGAATGAATGCTAGATGAAAGCAATATGCTCCAAACGATAGAACGAGATCTCTGCTCCTCCGACTGGGCATATACAGACCTGATAAAGGTGTGAGTGGAGAAATACAAAGAGAGCAAAACTTTGTGCTCAAACCGTCTCTGCCATTGTCCTGGACCTAACAGTTTGGGAGGCTCTGCTGATCCGTCCGTGCGTGCTCTCCAAAGATGAAAACCCTTGTTCTCTTTACCTCCCTATCCTCCCACTGTGCCCCCAAGGCGGCTACACATACTGGGATAGCTGTTTGGCTAGACTGATGGATGTCTCAAAGACCCAATCAAGGAACGTGTTATTTGTCATTGCTGAATGTGTCCATTTAAGCATTCGTTTGAATAGCCAGCAGAGGGTGCACATGCTCCAATAAAAAAAAATAATAATTAAAAATAAAAAATGAAAAGCAAGAGGCTATTTCCTCGTGACTGGAGGGTGTGGCAGGGTCTCTCAGCACAGCTTGGCTGATGTGAGTCCTCCACACCCACCTGGGGGCAAACATCAAACGTCCCAGAGGACTTCCTCATAACCGAACTTTAAAAGAATTCACTAGCACACACTTGAGTTCTGAGCCAATGAAATGAGTCCCCTGAACTGCAGTAAACAGCTCTGGCTTGCATCTGGGCACAGATGTCCACACCTCTGTTATTATCAACAACAGAGAAGGATTTCATGGACTTCTCAAAAGGGCTCTGGGGCCAGTTTTTTAGAAAATGTGAAAAGAAAAACAAAAAACAAAAAACAAAAACAAAAACAAAAAAACAGTTCCTCAAACCAAAGTATAAAAAAAAGTATGTTAGAACAAATAGGTCTCACTAATGTGTAATTTTTCCATTCATACCTGCCAAATTTTACAAATTAGTGTTACTATTATAGGGCATTCAGGAATAATCAATATAGAAACAGTAGAGGAAAAAAATCCTTGTGTGACATGGCATCGTCACCAGGCTTCAGCAACTGTCCTCCCTCCCTGGTGATGTGTGGCGCAGGGGCAGAGGTGGAGCAGGCTATGGTATTTTTCACTTGCTTATTTTTACAGTTGAATCAGCTTAAAAAAAAAAACAACCCAAGTATCACATTTTGGTAGGAGTTTTTAGGATGCAAAAAGCAAGAAGCCAGGCTGTTAGAGGAGATGTTTTCTGGTCTCCTTGTTCTTTTGGAAAATTCCATTGTGAAGATAAGAACAGATGAATAGCGCAGAGAAAGCTTGCAGCAGAGGGTTTAGCTTCCTTCCAACCGGGAAGGTGTGCAGCAGAGGGCTTGGTACCCACAGGGGAGGTGTACACAGGGGGCTTGGCTTCTATAGGGAAGACATACACCAGAGTCCCTGTGTTCCACAGGGAGGCACACACTTGGAGGGCGTGGGTTCTGCAAGGGAGGCATGCGGGTGTGTGTGTGTGTGTGTGTGTGTGTGTTGGCTTTCACTAGGGAGGTGTGCACGGGAGATCTTATGCTGCATAGCGAGCTTGGCGCTCGGTTTTCATATCGTGGCGTGCAGCACTGTAAGATGTAGCTACAGAGAGGCATGAACTGTAGGACCAGGTATCTACAAGGCTGGGGAGCACTGGTTTCCACAGGGAGGCACACACTCGCGGGCTGGGTTTCTGTGGCTCAGGTATCTATGTTCTTTGCCATACATACATGCTTTGGGGGTTCACAGTGTGTGCCCCTAATGGGGAAATATCATATCCCTTTACAACTGGGAGCAAAAGTAATGGATTTGTTGCCTGTTATCTTAAAAGCTCGCTCTAATGTGGCACAGGCAGGGGGCGGAGAGCTCCAGGCGCTCCGGGGGATGCTCGTACGCCCACCTTGCTTTTTTAGCACTTTCTGCTTCAATTCCCACCGCCTTCCTGTTGGCATAAAAATTCCATTAAAGTAATTGAAGTGAGGCAAGTTCAAGGCTACCAACCAGGTTATGGATCTGCGCGAATAAAAAGTAAAATAAAATACTGCTCTTGGGGAAGAGTGAGTAACAAGTGGCACTTTATGAATTTGGTGGTTCGTTCGGTGATCGTGCTTTCAATTTCGTGGAGCCGTCACAGTGTCTACCCGTGTCCACGCAGGGAAGTCACCGCAGCAGAGGAAGAGGTAGAGGGACCCTGACTTGCTGAGTAATGCTTACATGAGTTCTAAACGGGTTCCTGGGCTTTAGCACAGATATGTTTTAGTTTGTCCCATCCGGTAAACACACTATGCAAGGGCAGGAAAGACAGGGTCAGCAGGCGACGCCAAGGTCCCCTGCACCTCCCAGCAGCTGGTAAGTACTTAGGGAAGCAGAATGGCTGGAGAGAGGGTTCTGTGACCATCCAACGAAACCACACCATTACTGTCATATATATGTAAGTCTTGTCACGCAGTGGCTTCTCAGTATCCAACATGGCGTGCTACAGGGGACTCACGGGATGGGTAAGCAGTGGGGACAATCCTGTGGCCATTTTCCTGTGCTTTCCGCCCCCTCTGTCTAGATAAATGCTTAGGGTGCTCAAGACAGACTCAAGGTTAACCACCATGACATCTGCAGTTAAAGGCAAGGCCTCCATGATACACTCATAGAGTTAAACAGTCCTGGACTAAAATATGCAACTCCCACCAGGGCGTGGGATCCATGCAACTTATCTGTGAGATAGATCCAGTATGTGTGTGCGTGTGTGTGTGTGTGTGTGTGTGTGCGCACATGTGTGTATGTGCGTGTGGGTGCATGTGTGTGCATGTGCATGTGTGTGCATGTGCGTGTGTATGCATGTGTGTGTATGTGTGTGTGTGCATGTGTGTATGCATGTGTGTGTATGTGTGTGTGTGTCCCTGACAAACAAAGCAAAACAAAGCACACAAAACAAGCCCCAAAGAAATGACTTTTAAAAGGATTCCAAGAAATGCATCTAGGTTTATGGTATATAGTGTCCTCACTGACTTCCACCAATGGGTGGCAAGGAGGTGACAACCCAGCTTCCCGTGTTGCTTCCTCAGGCTACAGAACAGGGTGCTATGCCTTCCCATCTCCCCCTCGGTCAGGGGAGACAGCCGAGGTATCTACAGCTCCCTCTGCTGTGGCCTGGCCACTGTGAAGCCTAGTTATAGGGGTACTGGGAACGGAGATGTCCCAGGGGACATCGAGTCAGGGCAACCAGACAGTAGTTTCCTGAAAGGAAATTCAGACGGACAGAAAACAGAAATAAGAAGTAAGAGCAAGGTAGAGGACACCGTGGGAATTTCAAGTTTGGCCCCACGTGGATTTGTCCCATGTGATCTGTGTGTAGGAGTTTCCCCGTGCTTTCTGAGCACACCGGGTTCTGTGATGCGGTGCACAGGGACTTGGGGTGGGGTGGGGGATGTCCTGCCTGAACAGAAGCAGGTCCTAAGGAGAGCAGAGGTCAGACTGCGCAGGCGCATCACCTGGACGTTGGAGTCCTGGACCAGGCAGAGCTGTTCCTGGATCTTGTGAAGCTCTTCCTGCTGCCAACGGATGTTGGCCTGAAGGATCCGCGTCCTCTGCTCCAGCTGGTCTTTGATGGTCTGGAACATGCTGAATTGTGCTGAGAACTTTAAGAGGAAGTAAAAAAAAAAAGTAATCCGATCAAAGAGCCATTTCAGCCTGAGGCCACCCTTGCCACGCCACCGTTCTGACCAATCCCACGCATCTCTCGATCCTATCTACCCTTCAGCAATTGTTCTCAGCAGCTCTGAAGGAAGCAGGGCCTAGAATAAGGGATGGGTGTCCCAAAGGTCTCTAGCCAGCCCTCCTCGTGCTAAAAGTGGCAGTAAGCCCCTATGTTACCCTAATTTGACCCTGGTGGGCCTGGAGCCACCAAGGCCATCTCCCCCTTTCACCGTGCTGTTTCACGCGTTCACGGTCACGAAGGACAGAGCTATGGGGAAGGACAAAGCGGCCACCTGATGCTCACTGCAAGGATGCGGCCAACCGAGGGGGCCCCTACTCTCCAAAACAAGACTGGCTTCGGAAAACTCTGTGCCTCCTTACATCATCTCCGACAAGGGCGCTTCCCTTGCCAGAAATCGAAAGAGGGATGTAGAGGTGACCTTCCGTGGCGCAGTCCTTGGTCCAGGCTTGCTCTTTCCTTGTTTATCTCCTCTTTCCTCTCCCCCTCCCCCTTCCTTTTGAGACAGGGACTTGCTATGTAACCCAGGTGGACCTGAACTCATGGCAATCCTCCTGTTCCAATCTTCCGGGTGTGGAGATTATAAATGTGTGCTATCACACCCAGCTTCATGCCTGTGTTTTGAAGCAAATTTTCTAGGCTTGCAGCCCCTCCCCCCGCATCATCTTTCTCCTTCTCCTATCTTTGATTCCTTCTTCTCTACCTCTATCTTTCCTTCCTTCTCCACCTCCCTCCTCCTCATCTTCTTTCTCCTTTTTTTTTTTTTTTTAAACAGTGACTTCCTCTTTATTTTCTCAACGTCTACCCCTATTATCTTCCTGCTCTGTTTCCTGTCCACTACCTTTTGGAAATCTTCTTCGACACGTCCGTCCTCCGTGGCAAAGGGAGGACAGTGGGGTAGAGACTGTGGATAGAATCTACTAGAAGACAGGGACTCAGCACTCTGGAGCATCACGATAGACCGTGTAGGCCGGGAGTATGGCTCAGTGGGAGAGAGTGTGCCTAGCAAGTTCAGAGCCCTGGGTTCAGTTCCCAGCACCCAGTGGGAGCTCACAGCCACCTCTAACATGCCTGCAGGGGATCTGATACTCTCTCGCTTCTGTGGGCACTTGCGTGCACGTGGTATGCACAAATAAACACATTATCTCTCTCATACACATACACAATAAACCTTAGAACAAATGCAGTTGTTAGCATGTATAGAGCATACCACAGACCGGAGAACAGTTACTATTAAGTCGATTTCAAGAAATGAAAAATTAGAACTCCCAAAGGGCCATCGATCATTGGCTATTATATATATATATATATATATATATATATATATATATATATATCAGAAGTGAAAGGAATTCTCATTTCTTGTGCATTGGGATCGAAAGAAATCACTAATTTGAGACCAAACGTGTCTTAAGAACTTGAAAAGGAAAAGCTCTGTTCTGATTTTTTTCCCCTCCTATGAGGATAAAGTTGGACTATTTTAATTAGGAGACTCTGGCTGAACAGCTTTGATATCTCTGCTCTAGTCAGACGCTAGCAAGAAACATATGCTAGCACACGTCTTTCTTATTCCAGGAAAGCATCCGAGGCCACTTCTACGAGGGCATATGTTCTGAAATGTTCCCATCAGCCATCTCAGATCTGTACAGAGAGAGGCAGCCAAACTCTGAGGTGTTGGTGAACGGCCATCTGGGACCCAGGTACAACTTGGGGCCAGAGATTGGGACAATGCCAAATTCCCATAAAAGAACTGAAACCAGAGCTCTGGGCTTAACGGTGGAGACATAAGTGAATCTGTACGACACTCCCCACGATGGACCCATGCTCGTCCTGTGCCAGGCCCTGTCTCCTCTAAAATGCATACTTGGGTTTCTGTTTTCTGTGGTCACCCATCTATCCATCTACCAATCTCCTAGCCACTCTTCAGGGCCAACTCAAGGGATGCCTCCTTCCGGAAGCCACCCTAGATAGACTGTTTGACTGGCCCTGTGAAGCATCGGGAACCGGTAGGTGGTTTACCTGGTCAACTGCCCATTCCCTTGACTCTACAAGCTAAGAGTGAGGACCGCGTTTCAAGTATCCCCACATCCCTAGTGTCCACAGACTGATCTAAGCCAAGAGCTCCCCGAGTGTTATTGAGACAAGCAAGGAATTACTCCGCATAGCTGTAATGCGTCCCCTTTCAAAAGAAAAGCGGTATTTATTGTAAAGAATTAATAGCTCCTAGAGCCTTCCGGGTTCTTCTTTGACGTTTTGTCTAATTCAGACCTTTCCTAAAATTTGGAGTTACATAAAGTGAAAGGAATGCAGACAAATAGTAGAGTTACAAACAAAGATGATTATGAAGATGAAAATCAGGCACCGGGGCCGAGGGTGGGGGTGGGGCGGGGCGGAGGGAGGGGAACATGGAGCAAGGAGTTCTTGCTGGATGTGAGAGACAGTTGAGGACAGCTGTGACAAGGAAGTGTGACATTGCTGGATGTGTCTCATGAGGACTCTGGGCCAAAATCCCCCACTTCGGGCCTTAGTTGATACTTGAGTGTGTGATAGCACAGCAGTGTGAAAGCGTTCACAGACTCAGAAGACGTCTCTCTGCCCCCCTCAATCTCTGACTCACCTGTGTCATGGGAGCAGGTGGGCTCTGCAAGATGGTCTGCGGCAGGAGCTGTTTTGTGAGGTCACAGGATGATGGCGAAGGCCGGGGAGCCTGGTGGGAGAAAGAAGCTTTTTAAACGACCACTTCTGAGCCGCTCAGGGGCTCGGCTCTCTTAGGATGAAGTTAAGGCCTCCATCTCCCGGTTACACCGGTTCCTGTGCGAGACACGTAGTTAAGAGCGACCCATGGCTGGTCTAAGACACGTGTGGCTCTGGAGCCAGCTTCAGGTGCTCCGAGTACATGGTCCCCACCACGATGAGTGACAGGGAAGGCCCCTGCTGCCTGCCTGACTCGGTTCCATTTACCTCTGCTGCCCCATGTTAGACAGACTCCATCCTTGAGGACAGGCTACTCTACTCCCCGGTGGATTCATTCTCAGGATGCCGCCATCAAGGCGGTCATTCCCTGATCACTTGGGAAGCAACACGTAGAAATAAAGAGCTACACTTCCCAGTTTCATGGGCTGCTAAATGGTTTCAGGAGATGAGTAAGAAGACACTTCTGAAGTTATCCTCAAATGTGTCTCGTCCCTAGGGACTGTAAAAAGCAGTCTGCAGGACAGCAATGGGAGGAAGCGGCGGCAGCAGGGAGGTGTTACGGGAGTGAGAATCCCAGGTGTAGGCTCACCCGCCAGATGCTCACTTGGCTTCTCCTGTGTCCCTTACACATCTGGGGGGAGGAAGAAGCCACCATCCATGACAAAAACATGGTCTGTTGATGACTTGGCGTATAGGCAAACACTCTGCGGTGTTATGGAGAGGTTCGTCACACGATGACAGCACCATAGCCTGCCTCCTGTCCTCTTGCCCCAGGTAGAATGAGCCTCAAACAGGAGGGCCCCCAGAGTCTCAGGAGGCATACCCTCATGATTGAAGCACCGAGTTCTATTCTCAAAATCACTTGGATTTTGCATTCTGCAAGTACATATCCATGCTCCTTTTGCTACAAAAGTATCTAAAATTAGTTGCTAAATAAATACCTTGACTTCACGCCCACCTCCCTCCCCCCTGCAACACCCTCCCTCCCTGCCCCCCATACCCTGTCCCCTCAATCCCTAAGTAAAATTGAATCCCTGGAGAGACTCCATGTGTTCCTGTAGCTCTTCAGCCCACACCACAAGGCAATACTCCCCTGCTGAGAAGATGGGGATCCCACACGTACCGGCATTGTGGCTGCCTGGTTGAGCCCTGGTACTGGTGACTCCTGGGGTAGGGTGGCCGACCTTGGCAAAGCTGCATTGCTGTTCTCAGCCATCAGCTTGGTTGGAGTGGCTGTAAGGAAACCAGGGTCATGCCAATGGAGAGACAGGGATGGTGTGTTAGCTAGTTCCTGTGACACAGGCTAGGGTCATTTTAGAAGAGGGGCCATCAACTTAGAAAATGCCCACACCAGACTGGCCCGCGGGCACATCTGTGGCACAATTTGGTGACTGATGTTTGACATGGGTGACGCCACCCCTGGGTGGGTGGCCCTGGATGGTATAAGGAAGAAAGCAGGCGGCGCCAGGCAGGAGGGACAAGTTATCCTCCATATCCTGCTCTGACTCCCTGGATGACGGATGAAATAAAGTGTAAACTGTGCTTTCTGGGTGTGGTGGCCCGGCCCAACTCTGTCTGGGACTTTGTGTGACTCTGCCCCTAATCTGCCGGGGTTCCCGTTCATTACCCATCGGTGGGATGGCACTCACAGGTGGGTTCTGACATGGCTGTGTGCGAGGACTTGTGGGAACTCCTTGAGGACACAGACGGTGAAGGACTGGTTGTTAGACCTGAGGCACCCATGTCAAGTGCGTTAAAGTGCTGTGGCTCCAGGCTTGGGTCCTTTTCCTGAAACACACACACACACACACACACACAATCCGTATTTCAGCATTAAGACTTCATGAATGAATGACATGCCTTTAGTTTTCCTCTGTAGAAGAATTTGGAAGAAACACTCTATCTTTTTTGGAAACATTGTAAACACATTTGGGTAGAATAGATAGTCGTGAGTCATGTGGCATCACTGAGAGGCAGGCTTGTGTCTAACAAGCTACATTTATCTATAACTTCTCACCTTTTATCTGAATTTTCATACCCCCCTACCACCATTGACTATGCGTTCTATTTTTTCCTTTAAAACATTTTGGCATTCTGAAATGAATGAGAGGAGAGATCAGGAAAAAATAAAAAATAAAATAAGGCTGCTATTAGTACTGGACTGTTACCATGGTCAGTAAGGTGAATGCCACTAGGCCATCACAAGATACTTCCCATGCTGCCTCTCACGTGCTTGCTCTCTGCAGGGGTAAAGAGCCCGTGGCCTCTTATTTTTATTTTATTTTTATTACTTTTACTAATTTATTTTTTACATTCCAATCCCAGTTCTCTCTCCTACCTTCCCTCCCACCCCCTCCACTCCCCTCTCCTCCACACCCCCCCTCCAATCTGTTCCACGGAGAGGGTAAGGCCTCCCATAGGAGTCTCTGATTTTTTGACCTCTGACTCTTGACTGGTCCCGGCTTCCAGGCCATCTCTACCCCAAACAATGCACGGTGAGTGAGAAAGCAGCTATGGTGGCCCAGCTCCCATCCCCTATGGCTTAGGAGTCATTTCGTGTATGAAAATGGGGGCTATGATAGTATTTTAAGCTGGAGAAGAAAAAGCTGTTTATTTTCCCAAATCCTGTTCCTACTCAGAAGGTGGAAATTGCCACTACCCACTGTGTTATGGCCACTGACCTGTGTATTCAGCTTTATGCATGTGATCCCGTGTGCTGTTCTATCTTTGGATTCATAGCTCCAGTAAGCTTAGTTGCTACCATGGTGTATACATGTGCATGTGCATGTGTGCGCATATGTGTGTATGTGCATATGTGTGTGCATGTGTGCGGAGAGTGCACATGTGTGCATGTGCATGTATGTGCATATGTGTGTGCATGTGTGCGTGTGCACACACATGTGTGTATGTGCATGTGTGTGCATGTGTGTGCATCTGTGTGTATGTGCATATGTGTATGTGCATATGTGTATGCACATGTGTGTGTCTGTGTGTGCATGTGTGTGTTCATGTGTGTGTGCACGTGTGTGTGTGCATATGTGTGTGTGCACGTGTGTGTGTGTACCTGCAAAGACAACTGGAGTGACTGATATGAGACCTACCAGCTGTTGTGACAGAGTGACAGGATGTGTCTGTATGTGCGGTGGAAAATATCAGCTACGTAGTGACAATGTCTTTAGATAAGGCTGGTCCAAGGGTCACTGCACCATGACCACAGTGAACCGCTCCAAGGATGCCCCCTGAAGCTGTCTCAGACCAGGACGTAAGAGAACGAGCTGGGGACTGGGACCACAGACCTAGCCCCTACGGGTCATGTCTGCACCTGTCCCCTTACCCCAATGGGTGTGGTCAGGGCAACAGGTGTGGGTGGGGTGGGTGTCTCACTACAATTCTCCTTTTGGTCTAAAGAAAAGACTTAGGCTTGATACAAAATGAAATACAAAGACAGTAAATACCAAGTGTGCCCTAGGAGAAGGAAAAGTAAGAACACACACACTTAAGACCCATTGCCAATGAGGTAACAAGAGCAAATGGCAACAACTCTACCTGAGTGGCACATTTCTGATTGGCTGATGGGTGGGCACACATCACGCCTGCTCTTTGCTTGTGATATATCGTGTGTCTTACCACTCGTCTAACATTAGCAGGATTCCATTCTCTGCCATGGTACATGATTGATGTGTGATGCGGAAGCTGGGCACCAGACACTTCTCTAAGCAATTCAACCTCCTCATGTCAGGATACAGTAGGAGATGGCTCACAGAGGCAGCAAGTAAGCCTCTGCAGACATTGCTCTCTGATCTCCTCCTTCCTCACAATTTCATCAGCAAGGCATGAGAGATGCTTTTATTGATCACAGACAGAATGGCAGGCTGATGCAAAGCCTCTGGTCGGGCCCTGGAGTCTAGAGTGCTGGGCACCCTGGAGCTACCTTTCAACATATCCAAAACAGAGATTTGTCCTACAATTGGTGTAAGAAAATCCTTATTTCCTAGATCGACCGGCAGCCTGTTCACGCTGGTAAAACAACACCGGCCCTTCTAGCTGTTACCTTCTTAGCATTAATGGAATTCAGCCCTCTTATCTTTCTGGCTTTTCTCTTTGTCTTCTAACGCTTCTGCTCGTTTTATGAATGACCTTTGAGGACTGAGCTCTGGACTGCTGCAGACCATCTTCACAGCCCCTTGGCACTGTCTGAGGAAAACCCTGACCAGATGGGACCAGAGGACTCAGGGTAGGGGACGGGAGGAGGGCTTTGTAGACTGAAGGGTGTCTTTTACATCACCATTCAACACTCTCCTTCTCGCACCAGCGCTCTCTACACAAAGCCGACAGAACTGTGGCTGTTATCTAAAAGCTGAATCAGAAACAGTGTGGAGACATGGGACAGCAGCTTCGCATGGGTCCCATTCCCAGCGCTACAAAACAAAATCCAGACCAGAAAGAGCAGGAGGGAGAGGCTAAGGATTGGAAACAGCACAAACAAAGCTTAGTCTAAGGGAGGGACAGGGGCCTTGAATTGCTCCACACTCCGGTGGATGATGGGATTCCTCCCCGGCATTTTATCTTTGTGAGAAACGCAGACTAGGCTTTTTATAGCCATCATCAGAAGGCTGGGAAGTTGCCAAGCCATTCCTTGAGTCCAGAGGCTGCTTCTGAGCCAGCTTTTTACAAGCTTGCCCTTGGGCCCATGCTTCCACGCTCCTCTGAGGGATGAGAGAACATGGCGTGCACCTCAGAGGGCCTTCGTGAAAGGTTAATGGGCAAATGCCCCCCCAACCCCCCAGGCACCGTGAGCACTGTGGAATGACAGCAAGTACTCAGTAGGGAGAATCTGTCCAGGATGTCCTGGTATTGCTGAGAACAACCTATGGTAGGTAGCAATGCTTAGTCTTTCTCCGTTTTCATTCTCTGGGCAAGGAGGGGTGAGCTCACCTTCAGTGCAGAGGGATGCATGGTTTCTGTTGGTGGGTCTTCCAAAGCCAGCTCCTGCCTCCTTTCCACCCGGACATCTGCGTAACTGCTCAGGAGAGAGAGACAGACCACAGTGGCACTGGAACATTCCGGGAGGGCAATACCCGGTAGAGCATGTGGGGGACTCTACGTTAAACCTACTCATGGCATATGAACACAAAAGAGCCCCCCTGTGACCTTCTCGGAGCACCGAGTTCCATTCCTGCCTGATCGCCTTACAAAGATCCTGTTATACTGTAGATAGAGGTGGACTATTTGTTATTTTTATTAGATTTTTTTTTTCTGAGGCAGGCTGGCTTCGAACTTGAGATGCCTCTGACTCAGCCTCCCTGGTGCTAGGATTATAGGAGTGTGACACTATGCTGGGTACCAAGTCTCTCTCCTTAACCAGCCTCTAGATGACTTATCTTCTTGGCATTTCTCTCCTGGGATGGAGGGTAAATGAGCAGTTTCCTTTACCTCTGAGAGTTGGGAATCCACACAGGACGCATCTATGCCATACTGGACATATTGTTACCATTTGAATTCCTGCTCACTCATCCTGAGCTGAGGGTTCCCCAAAGCTACTAGGGACACCCCCAGGGCCATTTTCCTACAGGCAGCCTAGCTGTTGTCCTTATACTGCCTCAGTTGCCAGCAGGGATTTTTTTTTTTTGAACCCTTAAAGAATAACGACGTGTGTATTTGAATTATTTGGAGGCAACGTTTTAATGTTCTTCTAAAAAAAAAAAAACAGCAACAAGGGAAAGCTGGGGGGGGGGTGGATAGAGATGAGGGAAAAATATGTAAGTAGGTCAGTGAAGCTGGAACTTATTAAATAATATCCTGGCAGTTTTCAAAGGAGTTTGACTGAAAACTCACAGCACACCTCAGAGCTGGGAGGAGAGAGAGGGTGTGTCCCTGGGCAAGGGCCAAATTCTCACCACCCGGCTTGCTGCAAATGACAGCCAGAGAATTTCCTCTGCCACAGGGCATCCTTAAGGCGGTCACTGATCCTTCCCTGTACCCTTGGTGGCCTCACCCACCCACCCCCCAGGCACTTCTCGAAGGCCCAGATTGCCTGCCTGGACAGTACCTGACCACCGAATGTGTGCACACGATGAACTCGGGCTTGGAATTCCATTGGTGGTAGGTGATGTAGTAGTGTGTCTGCAACCATATCCACTGCTGCCCTTTGGTTAGGAACCGGTAACAACATGATTTCCCTTTGCCAAACTGCATCACTAGGAAGAAAAAAAGAAAAAAAAAAGTAGACTTTGCATGCAACATACGCTAACGTAAGTGACCCTTTCCCCAAGACTTACTACTAAAAACCAACGTTGCAGAAGATAGCACCAAATACTGCTTATTTTCCTGGTTACCACGTATTTTATGTGATCATTACTGGATAATCTGATATTTTTGAGGGGCGATGAGGTGCTGGGGATTGAATTTTGTCCTTAAGCTCACTGGGCAAGTGATCTGACTTAGTCATACTCAATCAAACCGAGGAATTCCTTTCCTTCCTTCCTTCCTTCTTTCCTTCCTTCCTTTTTTTTTTTTTTTTTTTTTTTTTTCCTGTGTAGACTTGGCTGTCCTGGAACCCACTCTGTAGACCAGCCTGGCCTTGAACTCACAGAGATCTGCCTTCTTCTTCCTCCCAAATGCTGGGATTAAAGGCATGAGCCGCCACCACCGCCCTGAATGAAGAATTCTTAATACAATGATTCCACATGTTCCCAAATGCACTAAGGCTGAAAAATCTCTTCACATAAGGGCACACAGGGATAGGTTTCCCAGCTGGAGATTTAAGTAGAAATGAGGCCCTGGTTTCCTCAAGGCTCATCCTCCTGCAGGTGAGATGCCTTTCGGACTTGAAGAGCGGAGCAGAGGATGGCGCATCCAGATACTGAGAGAAATGAAGCCAAAATAGACTTGCCCGCCAGCAACCGATGGGGATCTACAGCTGTCACCAATGGCCGGGTCTCAGTCTACACTATTTTAGAACAGAGAGACTGGCATGGACGCCTGCATCCCAAGTTCTCACCCCACAGCTGAACAACTCCCTGGAGGCCCTATAGTTATGTCTGCAGATGGCCCCTTTGGGAGGTACCCAGGACAGAAGCATGCTGGTGGTTTATTAGCTCATGGGAGGCAGAAGGATACATTATGGATCCAAGGAAGAGGAAGAAGACCAATTTGGATTTTATTACCACAGTGCCCGCAATTTAGCATCTTGTAATGCAAACAGTCACTAGGAATCTTACCTAGGAAAGGGAAGCTGTACTGTTCAGCTGGGGGTCTGATTGGAAGAGCCTGGCACAGTGGATGTGTGCGCTCTACAAAGCAAGCCCTTCTTGTCCGAGGCACGGGGTAAATCTACTACTTGCCTAGTGTGATCTTCAACCTGAGTGGCTTCTCTACGCTAGAAGAGTCAGAGGCAGCCAGAGGTTTAAAGCAACCATGCTTCTCAGATCTGAGTGTGCACATCAGTCTGCTGGAGGGACGTGGAAAGGGAATTGTTCATTCCTGATCCCTGGTGGGGGGAGCCCGACAGTCTACAGCTGTAACCAACCTGGTACTCAGGCAGCTTGGGTGAGTAATTACATTTTGAGATGTGAAGGGTTAAGGTTAAGGTGAACGTTCCATCCAGAGCTAGATGCAGTTCTAGCACATCCCTTCATCAACAAGGACAGCAAAGAGAAGAAAGTCCTGACATCCACTACAAACATGGCACAAGCTGAAGACCAGTGTCCGTAAAAAGCCCATAGTTTGGGGGAAGGGCTGCCCCAGGCCGGGGCGGTTTTTTTTTTTGGGGGGGAACTGGGGAAGTTTAATTTTTTGTCCCCTGGCGAGGGGCCCCCCCCCGAGTTTGTTGGGCCCCCCCCCCCTCTGCGCCCCCGGGCTCCTCCCCCATTTCTGCGGCCCCCCCCGCCCCCCAAGCCCCATGCACACCCTTCCACATACTGGCAGCACTGTGCAAATCACCTGCTTCTGGATTTCTCAGCGGACCTTGCCCTAGAGGGCAGCCGGGAGATGCTGGCCATGGGTACTGACATCTTTTGGGTGAATGTCTAAAAGGACATTTTACTAGGAAACTCAAGCTACAAAGCCACTGCCTTGAGAATGTTGTTTCTGAGGAGGCCAGTCTTAGTCCTGTGGTCAGTGATCAGTATCTGACTCATTGACTAAAGAACAGATAGAGTCTGTCTTCCAAATGCATCCCATAGCCTAAAAGAAAGTCTAACCCTGCCTTAATTTCTTGATTAGGGCTAAAGAATGTGACTCTTCTGGTTGATGGTGGGATGTTGCTTGGGGATCAGAACAATGTCAGTTCCAAGTTAAAGCAGGACCCGTGGAGCTAAGCGTAGGAAAGAACCCTGTTAGCCCATATGGTTACTGCTTGGGACACCATGCCTGACCCACGGGCACAAGCAGACTTCCAGTTGCACAGACTCCTGCTGTTTTGGCCCTGGTAAAGCAAGCACAAGACTCCTGGCTGGGCTGGCGAGTGGTACTCACGGTGCTGGTGGCACCTGGCCAGGAGCTCCAGGTCATCGATGTGGTAGTAATCATAGCCTGAGGTGCCGAGTACCTCAAAGGGCAGGTATCCTATGATCGGAGGGGCTCTGCAGGGAGAAAGAGGGACTCTTCAATGAGAGGCAACTCCACACAAGCTTGATTCAGCACTCAGTGAGGAGGGGGCAGTTTGCATCCTTAATGGTTTCCATGGAGGCCTAGTTTATCAAGAATCAGAGGCAGGAAAACAACATTGTAATGACAGTCGGGACCAGAGGGCCCAACGTTAAAAAAGAACTTGTTTACTTCAGGATATAGGTGCCTCGTTTCTTAAGATAACATGGCCCAAATGATAATAAGAACTTACAGATAGTGAAGAATGTAAAACAGCTATAGACTGGACCAGTCCAATGCTCAGAATTAAAGGGCAGGGAGGGGTGGTTGGAAAGAAAGCATTGAGATGAAGGATGGAAGGGGGATTAAAGGGATTGGAGGATTTCTTTCCCCACATTTGCTTTTGCCAGTCAGGAGATGGGACTCTGGGCCCAAAGATGTCTTAGGGCTGAGGCGTCACTCTGAACGTAGGACCTGAGCATGGGACAGGCACATGGGTTAGGATACTGACTTCCCCTTAGCTGGGGACAGCTGTTTCTATTGCCAAGCCATCATTCCCTTCAGTGGACCAGGCTGGACTTCATTCCCCCAAGTAGAGCCTGGCTCATGCAAACAACACTTGAAAAGGACCCAACTCAAATATGTTTTTCTTCTCACAAACCTGTGATCCAGAAATAAAAATTTCCATTCCAAGCTATGCCTCGAAGTGAATTCCTCTAAAGGTTCGTCAGCTACACACATTTCCTGTGTTGGAAAAGAGGGGGAAAACAAACAACAACAACAACAAAACCAGAATGTGTCTCAGGGTGCCAAACGCTCACCCTTGGTTGATTTACAAGGAACGAACGATGGGTAACACAAGTTAAAACTGTTCTGAGTCAAGCTCCAAATAGTGCTGGACTGAAGTTTGCCTGTCATCTGTAGCTAATTTCTGTATTAGCTGACCCTAAATTTATTTCACAAACTGGGAAAAGTACCTAGGAGCCAAACTGTGCCTCACCCCCTTCCCATTGTCTGGACTCAGAGAAAACATGTGGAGATAGCTTTTCGTCTGATTGCCGAATCACTAATTTAATTCCATCCACATTTGTACCGGAGATGTGAGGCGCTGTCACAGAAGGGAAAACACAATAAATGCTCCCATTTTTTTGACTCACAGACTGAGGCACACCTACTCCGCGCATAACGGTGGTGCAAGGATTTGAAGCCTTGCCAACAACATCTTTGTGGGTTCATTAGCAATGGGTGCTGTCTTCAAACAAACAAACAAAAAACCCCACAGGGACCCTGGGCCATGAGGACGGGCACAGAACCTAGACATTTAGAGTTTTGAAAACTAATTTTTAAAAATTTATTTTTCTTATTTTACATATGGATCCCAGTTCTCTCTCCCTCCCTCCCTCCCTCTCTCCCTGCCTCCCATGCCCCCCCACACTCCCATTCCATTCCCCTCCCCCCACTCCACTGGGAGGGTGATGTCTTCCAGGAGGGATCATCAAAATCTGTCAAGTCATTTGGAGTAGGGACTAGGCTCTCCCTCCTGCCTCTAGGCTAAGGGAGAATCTGTCCAAGGGGAATGTGCTCCCAAAGTCCTTTTCTGCACCAGGGATACATCCTGGTTCCACTGTCTAAGGTCCCTTAGACTGCTCAGTCCTTCTAACTGAGACCCACATTCAGGGGGTCTGAGTCAGTCCCATGCTGGATTCCCAGCTATCAGTCTGAGGGTCCATTAGCTCCCCCTTGTTCAGGTCAGCAGTCTCTGTGGGTTTCTGTAGCCTGGTCTTGTCCTTCGAAAACTAATTTTTAACACTAACTTTATTGCAATTTTATCCTCTTCCACGAGGCTAATTAATGACATGTAACCAAATGGGATGCCATCACAACCAAACCCGAGGTCTGTATCGTGATGACGCCCCTGTTGGGAACTTGCCTTCAAGAACTGCGGTGTTGCCAGACGCACAGTAGCAATGAAGCAGACTTCCTTTCCTACAGGCACACGGCAAGGTCGCGAAAGGGTATTGTCAAAGCCATTGCAGGACGAGCTAGGCACTGGCAGGGAGGAAAGACACACAGGTTAGCCCTGTCTGGTAACAGCAGCTGATCCTGCCCTGACTCTGCCTGCTTTCAGTTTACCTATGCTAACTCCCTCCACTTTTACAACAACCTGATGAGGTAGGCACACCTCTTATTCCCACTGTACAGATAAGAAGACAGAGGCATCTGTTTGAGAGCATCTCCCCAGATGCTGAATTAGGAATCGAAACCATGGCAATAACCACTGCATCCCACTGGACATCACTTCTACTGGCTCTTCTGAATTTGCTTCTTGTGTTGGGGAAACCGCTCTACAATGCAAGGACCCTCCTTCCACAGAAGTGGTTCTCAACCTTCCTAATGCTGAGACCCTTTAATACATGCAGTTCCTCGAGCTGTGGTGACCCCCAACCATGACATTATTTTCGTTGTTACTTTGTAACTGCAATCTTGCTACTGCCATGGATTCACAATGTAATAATATGCAACCCTGTGAAAAGGTCATTTGACCCCTAACGAGGTTGCAACCTGCTGGTTAAGAACCACTGTTTGGTAGGAAGGGCCTCAATGCTGGCTTCTGGTGTTTTCAGGGTGAATTTCATTGTGCAACAGTGTTTCTATTACTAATGATCCCAGGAAAAGAAGCTGTGGTTTCACAAGCATGAAGGAATCTGTCTCAAACCTCATCTTAGGGACTCTGGGAAGACACAGGGGCCAAGCCCCCTGAGCAGGTTCTTAGGGAGTTGTGGATAGATCTGGGATGCCCTCCGTGGTGGTAAAGACTTAGTTTCCGGTTTGGTGCTACTGGGCAATGGTAAAACCCTGAGGGATGCATTTGGGATGCTCTTGGCTCCTGGGGGTGTATGCCTTTGTGAGACTCTGGTTTCAGCTACGAATTAAGCTGCTCTGTTCTGCTATGTGCTCTGTCTTCCCTGATGTGACCATCTTCCTCACCACAGGCCCCAAAGCAACAGGACAGTGGACCACAGACCGAACCTCTGAAACCCTGAACCAAAACAACTTTCAAACTTGTTAAATATCAACAAGGTGAACAGGATGTGATCACATCTTTGTCCACAAGCCTGTTAGTTTTTTTTCTTTTTTCTCTCACAAGTCTAAGAAGACATATCTGCCATCACTTCAGAAGAGGAAGAGAGGCCCAGAAAGGTCACATGAGGGTCCCACAAGCCTCTGTCTGACTTCAGGCTCTCAGGGGATAAAAGGTTTGGATCTAGATTCAGGGCCATTATTGCGTTGGAGCCAGGCTGCCAATGTTCTCTTAAGATCCTGTTGGACATCAACAAAATTCTCCCTGGGGACCACCAGACCTTTCCTCAGGATGATGGCAGACAACTAAGGGACCTTTTGGGCCAGAAAAATTCTATTGTCTATAGATTGAGTTTTTGAGGAGAGAATCCAGTTAAATATGAAAATAAGCAGCTTGGTACACCCATAAAATCCTCACATTCCAATGTGTGGCTGGCTCCCCTGGGACCTCTGGTTTGGCAACTTGATCACATGATTCAGGCATGGGTACTTTCCAGAGCTCCCCTGGCTGGCCACCATGTGGCCAGGGCTGAGGACCCCTAGAGTAAAGGGCCACATGACCTTTCCTTTAGCACATGTTTGCTCTTCACAACTGAGGCTTCTAAATCTGCAAACTGGACCAACTGTGGAGGAGCCATACATTTGAAAGAAGCCACCTTATATCTATTAAACACACACACACACACACACACACACACACACACCCTTTAAAAAGCCGTTATTCCCTAAGCAATTCAGTAAAACCATGTAACATTTACACTTTATTAGGCACTAAAAGTCATCTAGAGATGATTTAAAATATATGGGGAGAGGTGGAGGGTGATATGAAAATGCTACACTATTTTATACAGGAGAATTGAGCACCCATGGGGTTGGGGATGTCTGAGGTGTCCAGGAACAAGCCACAATGGATATGTACCTGCATAACCTGTGCCTTCTAAACGCACAGATTTCAGTACCATTATGCTTTCCAACTTAACCAAAAGCATATGGAACATCAGAAAAGCAAATGCATTTCAAAATGAAATCTGCAGGATTATAGTCTAGCTTTCCAATCATTTTTTTTTTGTTTTCTTTATTTATAGGTTTGTAAGTGAATCTATAAAGTGGTCTGCTCTCCACTAACACGGATAAATTCATTTCGCCAAACACATTCTCTGAATTCACTCACATAAATACTGATAAATGTTTCCAAACACGAATACAAAGTGAGTAAAAAAAAAAAATAGTGGTCTCAAGAGAGTATACATCTGTCATGAGCTGGCTTAAGACTATTGTAGATTCGTTTTGTGGGCGAGCCAAGAGATTTATCAAGGGAAAGGAAACCAATCCCACATAAGGAAGGTCTGCAGATGTGAACATCTGTGTAATAATAATAATAAAAAAAGACATTAGAAATTTCCCAGATGTAAAATACTCTCTACTCAGATTGAAGAGACATTACCCCGCCAGATAATGACCTAATAAAATTCTCTCGGCTCTTTTTGGAATGCTGAGACCTTGGAGACAAACTTCCCAGGACTCCCTAGGAACTTAAGGATAACACCGGGCTTGAGCCACTCTTTGGCTGCTAAACCCACGAGGTGCCAGCGAGGGCCTTCTCCCTGATTTCCTGTGAAAAGGGGACATAAGATGGAGAAGTGGGAAACACTTGCTTAAGGCAAGTTCCTTCCTTAAGGAGGGCAGGGACAGCCGGGTTTCCCCTTCGCCTGGCTGCCCTCCAACCCAGTTTTATCTGCTTTTTTATTTTTTAATAACTTCAAAGGTGAAAATCCCCAGCTCTATTCCCATCCTTGCCTGGGTGGGGGGAGTTCCAGTATTTCTGGTGGCCTGCGGTTAGGTGAATATTCTACAGATGGGCCCCAGATTATCTCTTCTTTTCCCGACCAGCTTCCCCCACTGAAAACCTTGACCACCCGAGAGTCTGGTCCAGGGTGATAAACAGTGAACCGGGGTGAGTGTTCCGGCAAAGGCCAAGAGGAAGCAAGGGGGGGAGCACTCCCTTACGGGCTGCACAGGCTCCTTGTGTGTTCCAGAGGCAGCATCCATGCATACTGAACCCTGGGTCTTCACAGCCCGTACTCAGCACTTAGAATGACTCTCTGGCACTTCAGATCCCAAGGTAGTTTAAAGCTATTAATTAATTAAGGATTCCATTACCTATTTTGATTTAAATAACAGGGAAAAAAATCACATCTAATTACAGCTGGCTTCCTTGTCTCTCAGAAGGATTTGCCACCGACTGTGAGCACAGCTCTCCTTTCTCTGGTCTCCCATACTCATGATATAGAGGCTGCTGACTCAAAATTGATGCTGTCCTGGCCAAAAGTTGGATCAGCAGGCCTCTCCCACGTGGGGGCCGAGGGAGCATCGTTTCCCCTCTCCAGCGCTGAGTAGGCTTTCAGCACATGTTTCCTGGATGAATTTCTCAAGGAGGGCTTGCACTTGATTCTCAAACTGAGCTTAGGGCTCAGTCCAGGATGGGGCTTTCTGGTCTGTGCCAGTAAGCAGCACACAGACTTTGGGGGCCCTAGGGTGGATTCTCTTTCACAAATCCTCCACTCTGGCACCATGGGAGGGTTCTGGAAGTCACTGACATTCAGGTTAGCTCACTACCCTACTGAAGGATGAACATTGGTCCAAAGGAGGCCTGGCCAAGATAGTGTCTGGGAATTACCATGACACAATGGCCAACAAGGGTTGACAAACAGCAGAAGTACCCAATAAGGGCCTCTGTCTGGAGAGATGCATGCTGACCCTGCTTAGGATCTTCAGACTAGCATGTTTGGTCCAAAGGTTCTCAGGTTATGAGCTTTTCAAGATCCTATCTTACTTAGGTGCCTCGAAAGAGTTCTGTCCTGTGTTGGCATTCTCAGGAACTCTCAAGGTTCTGTGGGAACTCACACTGACTGATGCTACTCCTGTGAGATATAACTGAGGTTAGCTCCCAAGTCTGTATCCCATGGCAAAGCTGAGCTCCCAAATCATGGTAAGGACACAAGACGAATCACAACATGGACACAAGGCCGGGAGCTCTCAGGGGGCAGGAGAACTTGTCTCAGGGGGTTTAGGGAAGGATGCGGGGAGGATCAGAGCTAACTGTGGATGTTAGTTAGCGGCAAAGGGAAGGAAGAAGATTCCAGCTCCCTGCCCACTGAGCTCCGCACTTCAGTCAGCTCTCTTCAGATGGAGATGCTCACACACTACCTGCTGAATCTATGGGAAAGCACATGGCACATCTACACAGAAAGTAAAAGGTAACTTGCTGGGCATTTCTCGAAACAAACGAGAAACGAAGCTGATGGGTATCAGGAAGACATGACGTAGCGACCAGAGATGAGATTTGCTCTGCAGAAGGCGGAGGTTCCCAATCCCCTAAGTTCCTGGGAGACAGTCACATACTCCCCCTGCTACTTCCTGGCCCAAGCACCACCTACCTGGCTCACAATTTTATTTATTTCTGCTCAGGAGAGAAGCGTAATGAGTGGCGGGGGGGGGGGGGGGGGGTGGGAGAGCTTCATGAGAAAGCTGGATCTGCAGCTCGCTGAACTGTAAAAAGAACATGGCTCTAAAGGGAAACTATGTCTTACATCACTATTTTCCACTTCCTGCCATTCACGGAGTATTTTCAGGGCACCAGAGGACTTTGGTAATGGAGTTAAGACTTCCCCCCCCCCGAGGGTTGGTGTGGGTAGCAGTAAATTCTACATACGCCGAGGAGACTGAATTTCTTCTTGAGGCCCTCACCCTGTCTGGATATTTTTGGCATATTTTCTGTTAAGATTATAGACTGTTTTGCACTCGAAGTCACTCCCAGATGAGAGCAAGCAGGAAGATGTAGCTGATGAATGTACATCTACATTGTTTCATTGTAATATGGATCGGACCTTACCTTAGATGACTGTGCAGGGCCATGGCCTTGGGTAATAGCTTGTTAGTAACCATGATTGGAAACTCACTGCTGTCTAATCTGATAGCTGACCTCCACTGGGGAGGGGGGAGATTTGAAGCTGCCTGGCTGAGTGGAAGGCATGCTTTCTTCTAGCTCTGAGGGGCCAGTGATGTTCACATCACGCACTCCATATAAGAGATTTCCAAATGCCTGCCTCTGTATTCGGGGAGGTCTGGTGTGCCTGTGCCTTGATCTCTTAAAACAAGACATCATAATTATTTCAGCACAGGGGAGAAGACAAAACAGAAGCAGCAACCTCAAAGCCAGGCAACCTAGGGAACACATGGAACTGAGTGTTAGAAGCCGAAAGGCCCTGGCCTCTGCCAGTGTTTCGGTCTGGCACTGCGGTTGGTTAGCGGCAACTAGGTAAAATGAGGGCAGGGGAACTTTTATACTCTGCTGTGTGGTTTCTGGAAAGCCCAGGGTGGAATGTTTGCTGAGGGTGACCTATTTGGAACCATACCAGCAACTTTTGAAATACTGTGTGTTCTGGAGTTTAGTCAGATGCACATCTAAATCCAAGGCTGGGGGAGGGCCCAATAAAGGCTGGCTTTCTTCTTGCCATGAAATGGCCTATCAGGAATAAAGCCTGCTTCTTAGGGGCCTCTTACAGCAAAGATGCTCATCGCGTTCTCGACACGATCTCTAGCTGTTTCCTTTCTGCTCGTGTAGCAGCAGGGTGTGTGTGTGTGTGTGTGTGTGTGTGTGTGTGTGTGTGTGTGTGTGGTGCTTGGCACTTGGGTACATGGAACTTATGAAGGTCCTCGGGACCTCATACTTGTTAGAAGAGTGAGAAGACGAGGTGGTGGGTTTGTTCAAAAGCAGCTCTCCTTGTCTGTCTTTAGAGAGAGTATCTGTTATAGGACAGCCATAGTCCAAATAGCCTGCTTGTTTTAGCGATGGACTGGAAATGGTCAACACACAGAGCAGAGGAAGACAGGCCTCCTGTGCTCAGCGATTACCCCATGCTCTGCACCAGCCAGGGTTCCTGGGAAAGGACGGGACTTGGGGGCACCTAGCCCACTCTGTATTCGTCAGGAGCCTCTTTGCCAGGCATGTCAGAATCTGTCCTCAAGGGAACACTTCTAAAAGGACTGTATTTCTTGCCCCATTTCCCAACACACATCTCTTCCCATATCAAAAACATCTAGATGAAGAAGTTCTGGGTTTGATACCTTCTCCCCAGAACACTGGGGGCCAGCGATCGTCTCCCGAGCGGTGACCGACATGTGTACAATATTAAGGAGAGGGAAAGCTCAGCTTTGCTCATGTCTTTGGGTAACTGCTGCTGTTTATATTGCCCAACAAACTGAGATGGTAGACAGAGGTGAACGGGTGGGTCCCAACACTCCCATGAGAAATCGTATCTCCCTTTCACACTCCCCCCCCCCACAAAGGTCAGGAAGCTGGAGGAAACCCAAAGCCCAAAGTGTTATCCATAGCCAACAAAAAAGCAGACAGGGTCCTCTCGCTGGCTCAGCGCCGCCCTCTCCCCCCTCTGCTCCTGCCCAGATGGAAACCAGTGCTCAGTGAACACCACTGGAGCGCTCAGCGCATACCACTGGAGTGCCCTGTCACCGAGCTCTACCCCAGCCCTTTTAAAAAAAATAGTTCATCTATCCTTCTAAATTTCATTTTACGTTCCAACCACAGTTCTCCCTCCCCCCACTCCCCCTCACCTCCCCCACCCCAGCCCATGCCCAGTCTACTCCTCCTTATGCATAAGGGCTCCCATGAGGAGTCAGCAAGCTCTCACACAGTAGGTTGGGGGCATAGTCTCCCATGCATTAAGGCTGAGCACCTAGCCCTTATTTCTCAAGTTGACACCTAACAATTGTACACACTGAGGAGGAACCAGGCGACGTTTCATGTATGTTGTGCCGTGTTCAAATCAGGGCAAGCACTGGTACCTCCTCAAGCATGGATCACTTCCTTTTGGTGATGAACACTGAGGTCATTTCTTCTAGAGTTTTAAATGACTAAAACTTTATGGCTATCCCTAGCCACCCTACTGTGGTGGAAAGGGGCATTAGAATTTATGTCTCTGGTGTAATTGTAGCCATCCTGTTGCATTTCACCTCGGGTCTTTTCGCAATCACGCCAAGGTCTCCATTTACACCTGGGGGTTCTTGTCCCAATCAAGCCTTTCTAACTTCAGCTGATACAAGAGGTTCTAGAGGGAGGCCACGTTCCAGGCTTCAGCATTTCTGGTTTTGATGCTTACGGTGTTTATAGCAGCAACAGTTAAAAAAAAAAAAAAGTCACACATAATTCCCACACATTCTTTCAAGCAAACAAACACTGTCTCAGCTCGAAGTGAAAATAAATCCTTGCTACTTAAAAAAAATAAAAATAAAAGCACTACTCAGGTATTCAGGAGGAAGCGAGCCTATTTCCTTGAAGCCTTCTAAGATTTCACGCATGACGGGATGGTTTAAGGTGCTATATAGAAGGTTTTTGAGTAAGAGAAATATGAATTCACGGGGTACAGGACTGTTGCTCGCCCGCCAACCACAGGTCATCATTTGAACTGACCACGTGCACAGTTGACACAGGACCACGTGGGAGCAGCATCGCACGGCTCTCAATCTGCGAGCCGTGGTGACTTCCTTCCCCTCTGTGCATTCGGCCACTAAGGATACTCTAACAGTTGATGATACAGCCAACAGACACACAGGTTTCAGATGTCACCATAAAGCACTATAGCGTCAAATTTAACATCTAGCTTTTCTCTTTTTGGTGCTGGGGACTGAACCTGCCACTGAGATACATCCCAGACCCACACTGCGTTTAAATGTGCAATTAAGCAGTGCCAAGCATACCTGCACCCTGCTACCAACATCCGTCTCTAGAACTGCACCTTAGCAAATGGAAACCGCACACCCTCTTGGCAGCGCTTCCCACCAGCCCCTCCCCCATCCCTTGGCAGACAGGCTTTACTTTATCCTCATGGATTTAATTATGCTAGGTACCGTACCGCATATGCACCGAATCACGCAGTGTTTGCCCTTTGGCGACAGGCTTATTGTGCACAGCATAACACTTTTCAAAGCCCTTCCATGTGGCAGCGTGCATCAGGATTTCCCTCCTTTTACAGGCTGAGTAACAATCCATTGTAAGGGTATTGCACTCTTTTTTAACCCATTCACCCACGGATGAAGCACTGGGCTGCTTTCTTCTTTTGGCAATGGCAACTAGTGCCGTTATTTAAACAGCTGCACACATACCTCTTCAAGCACCCACTGTCGCCTGTTTGGGTATGGACTAAGAAGGGGGGGCAGTAGCCCAGCTCAGGTTTGAATAAATCAGCACACACATTTCAAACCTATTCTAAACAGCCACTTATATTCAATGACAAAGCTGATTGGAGAGGAGCACTAGTAATCTCTAGGGACTGCTACGGTGATGAACTCTCGCCCTCCTGGAGCCAGAATCCCTCTCAGGCCTTTCCAATCGCAGGGCCCTTGGCCTTGGGTCCCCTGAACTGGCATTTTTGAAGCAGGCCTAAAACATTTCATTTTGACAAGCTGCCTCATCCAAGGAATCACTTCTCTGGGGTTGGCACAAGGCTGGCTTCTCTACCGGTGTCAACTTCTTCACCCAGGCAGCCTGCAAGCTCTCAGTCACTTCTGTGTGATGGCTCCTTAATGCTGCCTCAGGAAGCTTGCCCAAGGCTTTCCCAACAGCCAGGTCAGACACGCTCAGTCCTTGGCTTCGTTTAGACTTAGGGGCCCACCTAGGAGAATGAATGAATCCCACTACTTACCATCATAGTCACATGGATCCCTGGATGGACTGGTCCTCTCAAGGGCCAAGCCAGCCATGGAGGCTGCGATCCAGGCAAGAATCCCTGGACAAGGACCTGAAAAATCACTCTGGCAGGTTTCCTCTACTTAGCATCTCCTCGAAGCCTTTTAGATGAAGCATGCATGTTTATTTAAATACCATGCAGCCAGGGGTCGTTCGGGGTGGAAGGAAAAAACCCTGGTTAGCCTCAGCATTAGAAAGTGGAGCCATGACTTTGGCTCGTTCCACTGGAACCTGGGACTCATTGGGCTGGTGTAACAGCCCCAAGTGGGTCCCGAGTCACACACACAGCAGTAACGGAAGCCGCGGAAGTTAGACTTGTTCTCAAGGGTTCGCTGTGCTTCCCACAGACCCTCCTCAGCTCTGGAGCTCAGCACCTCGCTGTTTCCCTCTGATTCCATTCCCTCTTCCTCCTCACTCCTCGTCAACGTTGCCTCCTTTGCTTCTTCTAATGCTATCTGTTACAACTTAAGAAGCAGGCCGTTCTGTGCTCTGCCCGGAGTGGGGCCCGCTTTCGAAATTTCTGGTGTCCGACCCTGCATTCCCCAGTTTGCGTGGGCAACAAGTCAGAATAAGCGGTCAAGTCTGGTTTAGAGCTCACATCTCTGCAGCTAGAGCTTAGCTGATCCAATGTGGATTCCTGGCTCATGCCAAAACAGCCCCTTTACTGTTAATGAGCAAAGACCCATAAACCAGACCTCAGGCTCGCAGTGGGACTACACCGGAGAGACAAGCATGCAGGGGTCAAGGGGACAGATCTGGGTGTCACAACTCCAGAGTGTAGGCTGAGCCTGTTCTTTAGTAGCTGCAAACTATTTCTCCCTGCACAGAACTATCCCGCCAGCCTGAAAACAAATAACCATATCTCATACAATTTGGAGTGCATGCATACACCCGCAGACTACTGTATGTGTTCTTGAACAGTAGAGAACACTGGTGCGCGCAAGCGCGTGCGTGCACACACACACACACACACACACACACACACACACACACACACAGGAGTGTACATTTGGTCCTGGGGAACAGGATCCAAGTAATTCTTAGGACCTCGTGTGTATGTTTTGCATGATAAAAGACACCGTGGAAAGGACAGGACAATTAAAGCTTACCATTGTTGTAAGAGCGAAAATTTCCTACAAATTTTATGTATTCATAAGTTGGAAATTCCTTTGGGTTCAAGCTGCCTCTGAGAAGGTGGCAATAAAACTCTAAATCGTTGTCAGCTGGGCCGTTAAAGGGAGAAGAGAGAAAGGGAGAGGACCGTTACGTTACACAGACTCCAGACTAAGCAAGTGGTGCCTTTATGATTTACTCCATGCATGGCCTGCATGGTTTCCTCCTTACAACGGACTGTCAGATCTGGCTTCTAACCCTTGGAGCTACAGGCCTTCCTCTCCGTAGCTCATGCATATTCCACATTCTATACTTGGACCCAATTAGTCAATTTGCACACAGATGTCTGTGGTTGGTTATGTCGGCATCGATTAGTTCTGGTTGTTTTCACATGGCATACTAAAATAAAGCTGCTTGTATAGAGCCACTCTCTTTAATTTAATCTTTTTTTGCTTTGCTTTGAAGGAAAATCAGATGTACGATGGGACCAATTATGCATGGAAGTCAACTGGGGCTGGAGCAAATGCAAGAGTCTTTGCTACCGCCTGCAACTGCGTATGCTCCGTTAAGCGCCGCGTGGTAAGCAGCCACTGAGGCCCGCCTTTTATCTGGGTTGCCAAATATTTTGATATAAATCTCAAACTTCCATAGAATTGCACATGTATATAAATAACCAGATGATAGCCACAGGAGGACAGTACGTGATTTCCAAACTAATTATTACATTAGCAGTTGATTATTTTGCTATCGCAGAATCTTTACATTCTAGTGTTCCCTACGACCCACAGACTGCTCAGTGGATTTTGCCCTGTTTATTACCCGCATGTAAAAAGACATGTCTTGTCGTGCATTTGAAACATGTTATTATTCTGAAGCTGTACTTTCAACTTTTCCACAGAAAAGCTGAAATGTTTTACATGCTGCTGCAAGTTCCAGTTTTAGCTTCAACTTAAAATATACCTCAAAGGATCTTGAAAATGTTCTGAGTCACGAGGAAAATTATTCTTAAAATTAGTCCTCCCTTCTTAACTCATTCTGACCTCCTTTCTCGAGCTAGAGCTAGTTACATTCCTGTCTTTAGATCCAATAGCAACACCAGGAAGGCAGACTTACATTTTAGGAATTCTGGGGAGGGGGAATCCGTCACAAGCATATGGGAAGAGAGCATTTTATAAACTTCAGAGTGTTCTTGTTCTGGAAGGAAATTTAACAAGTTCTGATCCATGACATCCGACTGCAAGAGAAAATAAAGAGAAAAGGCACACGCTCGACCTAATGAACTTCAGAGGAGGCAGAGCCTGACAGGTCTTGGGAGCTCATAACTGATTTGGAGATGGAAACTGAGGGACACATGGTCTGTGCAGACTCTCCTCGGACCCCTCCTCTGGACCGGGGGAATTGCAATGTGAAGGGTTTTATAGGGGTTGGGGGCCATGGCTCAGTGAGAGATTGCTTGCTTAGAATGCCTGAGGCCCTGGCAAATACATAGATTAAAAAGTACAACTTTCAGGGACATCTATGTATGACTCTCTCTGTAGCTCAGGGGATGCAGTAGAAGAGGGGGTGGAAAGAATGGGGGGCACAGGATGGGGAGGCTGTCTTCTGGAGATGACTGTTGTACTCAAGAACTCACAGCCTGTACAAGAAGGCTGCCCCCCATTACCATTACATTATAGACTGTGGAGAGCCTGGTGGCGGGGAGGGGAGGTCCTGAGCTATTGGCACGGTTTCTGGTTTCTGGGAAGGGATTTGTGTAGCCACTGGTAACTGGCCTGAGATCCTGTCAATAACACACCCACTGATGCTCACACACGCAGCCCTGCCTAAGCTCACTGGGTCACACCAAAACAACAACAACAACAACAACAACAAAAAGTCCTGAGAGAAGAAAGGGGGCATAAAGCTTAGAAGAAAGCGCCCAAGGGGAGTGGAGGGAGAGGGGAGAGGCGAAAAGGACCACAATACATCATGTATGCAATTGTCAAACAATAAAAACATCAGCGCCTTTCCAGATGCTCTCCGGTGCCCCCAGGAGGTCGCTGAAGGATCTCCTATGGAATCCACAGTGCAGCATCTTCACAGAGCCTGGGCTCAGATCATCTCATCAGCCGCACTGCGCCCGAGGCGGTGCGAATGCCCCACACAGAGTCCTGTCATTTAGACACTAAGGACGTGGAAGAGGGGAAGAGGGGTTTCGAACCAGCAGCAGGTCCGGTCTGTTGGCCAGGAGAATTCTGCACTGGCTTACATGTGTGTTACTGTCTGTGGGCTTAGGGAAAACACCAAGTGTCAGTTCTGACACATGTACACAGAAGCAAGTCCTATGCTGCCCTGGAGAGCCCTGCTTGCCAATCCTCCTGCCTTCTGGCTGGAGACAGTGAGGGCGGCCTATAAGGAGCCCTGCGGAGAGGTCAATCACTCACTTAAACAAATATAAAGGGAACATGAACTTCCTGCACCCTTAGCCCAGCAAAAAGCTGCTGTTTATTTCTCATAGGCCCATAACCGATGGAGTTGCATTTTGTTCCCCGAGTGCCCAGACAGTAGGAATACAAAATGAACACTACATACAGCCTAGGTACAACGGTGTTCCACAGAGCTATCAGCAATGGGAACGGAAGTGACTCTGGTCTTGATCTGTGACAGAAGGTACCAGCCGACAGAGACGCTGAACTCTTCGGAGGTAAACAGATGCCTGTGGTGAGGAGCTCGCAGTGAAGACAGGAGACCCAAATGGCTTACCGTCTTCCTCATTTTTCCCTTAGGAAACATACCCCTTCCCTGTAGCTTTAATATATCTGTATAGACCCGTAAGCTCGAATCTCCACAAGCTTTCAAGTACACAGGCCCAGCCCTCCGTCAACCACCAGATTTCCCACGGATAAGGAAGGCATTCGGGTCTGCCTCATCCCTTTACACCTTCATGTCCACACCCAGACAGTGTCTACAGCTTTCGTTGCTGTGATAAGACACCATGACCAAAGGCAATTTGGGTTTCTCTCTGTGTCTCTTTCCAAGACAGGGTTTCTGTGTGTAGCCCTGGCTGTCCTGGAACACACTCTGTGCAAAGCTGGCCTCAAACTCAAAGATGTACCTGCCTCTGCCTCCTGAGAGCTGGGATTAAAGGCATGCAGTAGGTTAGCTTGGGTTTCTATTGCTTCAGTGATTCATTATGACTAAAAGCAAGTTGGGGAGGGAAGCCTCCATTTGGCTTACACTTCCACATTGTAGTTCATCACTGAAGGAAGTCAGCACGGGAGCTCAAACAGGGCAGGAACCTGGAGGCAGGAGCTGATGTTTGCTCAGCTTGCTTTCTTATAGAACCCAGAATCATCAGCCCAGGGTTGGCACCACCCATAATGGGAGAGGTCCTCCCCCATCAACGACTAATTTAAAAAATGCTGTACAAGCTCACCCACAGCCAGATCTTACGGAGGTATTGTCTCAATGGAGGTTTCCTCCTCTAGGATGGACAGTTTGTGTCAAGTTGACACAAATCTAGCCAGCACAACTGACCTCTTGTCAACTTGATGCATAAACACATCACTGTCCAGCCACAGCTTTCCTTTTCTTGGTCATCCCTGAGATCACACATTAATAAAGATGCTACAACGTCAGTCAAACATTTTTCCAAACTTAAAAAGTCCCACAGCATTACAAAATCAAACACTTGAAAACTTGTCTCTCTAAAAATGTAGTCTCTTGAAACCCAAGTTCTCTGTAAATCCCCAAATCTCTCTCTCTTCTTTCTCTCTTCTGCACTTTCTTCCTTCGAGAGTGGAGAGCAAGAGCAGTCACAACCTGAAGAAGCAAAGTGAACCCCATAGTGTAAGCAAAGGGGTTTCCAGCATCTGGGATCCGCTCACCATCTTCCGGGCTCCTGCAAAGGGCTGGGGTCGCTTCTCTGGCTCCGCGCTCTGCAGCGCACACAGCTGTCTTTTAGGCTCTGGTGGGCTCCTCTCCACGGCCACTGTTCTTGGTGGTCATCCGTTGGTGCTGGCATCTCCAGACTCTGGGGTCTCTGCTGCAAGTGGCTCAAATGCCTTTCACCAATGGTCTCTTGTGGGCTCTCCTCACGGTGATGAGTCTCAACTTTTATGCACACCGCCTTCAGCCTGGGCCTTCAACTTCCACTGAGGCTGTACCTTCACCAATGGCCTCCTGGCCTCTCACAGTGCCGAGCCACAACTTCTTTCCACGACCCTTTCATGCCTTCAAAGCCACCTGGGTGACTCTACATTACACCAAGTTTGGCTGCTGGCACAAGGTGCAATCTGGGCCACCTCTGGAGCACAGCTGAGTGTGCTGACTCTGGGGAAACACTTCCCAGAGGATTTCACCTCAGCGATGCTGGTCTCTTCTTAACCACTACCATTTTCTCAGCCCCAGCTGACCAGCATCCATCGTCCTGGTAGCTTAAAGGTTTCCCTCCAGGGTGCCAGCCTCGTGTTGATCACGGCTCTGGGACTCTTCAGTCCCAGCTGACCAGAACGGCAGAATCTTAACCCAAAATGGCAAACGGCCCTGGTAGAGTCTTTAATCTTCCCTCTGAAACTTCGTAAGCCAGGCCTCCGTGCTCTGCACTGCCCTTAACATTCTTACCTCACAAGCTCCTACAGAACAGCCCACTGAGCTCTCAACACTTTTCTAGCTCAAAGTGTCAGAGTGCGTCCACAGGCCTCCCCAAATCATGGTCAGCTCTGTCACCCCACTATGCTGGTACCGACGCGTCTTAGTTAGGGTTTCTATTGCTGCGGGGAAGCACCATGACCAAACGCAAGTTGGATTCATTTGGCTTACACATCCCCACCACTGTTCATGGTTGGTTGAAGGAAGTCAGGACAGGACTAAAACAGGGCAGGGTTTATCTCATCTTATAACAGAGCATCACTGCAGGAAGTCAGGGCAGGAAGTCAAGGCGGGAAACTGAGGCAGGGGCTGAGGCAGAAGCCAGGGGTGCTGCTTACTGGCTTGCTTCCTGTGGCTTACTCACCCTAATTTCCTTTTGTTGTTTTTCAAGACAGCGTTTCTCTGTGTAACAGCTCTGGCTGTCCTGGAACCCGTTCTGTAGACCAGGCTGGCCTTGAACTCAACAGAGCTCTACCTGCTTCTGCCTCCTGAGTGCTGGGATTAAAGGCATGAGCCACCGCCACCACCCAGCTGGCCAGCTTTCTTATATAACCCCAGCCCCTGCCCAGGTGTCCCCACCCCCCACCAAGTGAGCTGAGCCCTCTCACATAGATCACTAATCAGGAAAATGTCCCCGCACAGGCCAGTTTGATCGATGTATTCCTCAGCTGAGGCTCTTCTTCCCAGACAACTCTAGCTCGTGTCATTGTCAAAACAAACAAGCAACGACAAAACAACTAACCAGGATAGCGGTCAGTGGGTGGGCTGCTTGTGGCACTCCCCACAATTCTCCCCATCCCATTCCCTGTTTCTGTTTCCACCTATCTGGGCTACCTTTATCTCTTACCTGGTCCTTGTCCAATGTGACCTCCTTTGCAGCCAGAGAGGCCCCTAGATCATATCAAGTCATCACCTGCTTACCACCGTCCCTGAATTCCCCCTGTCCTAAGAACAGAGGCTCAGCTCACCACAGCTTTTGAGCTCTGTGCCCTTTACCTGCCCACTGCTTTCCCAGCATCCCTCTCTCCCATCTACCAGGTTCCTGGGGCCTTCATCCGGCCGGACCGTCCAGCACCTCTCTTTGTGTTCAGTGAGCTGCGGAGTTTTGCGGTCACACCCTCCGAACAAGCTTGCAGCTCCCTTTCTAGCCAAGCTCTCCCTTCTGCTTACCCGGCCCCTCCTCTGATATGCTGTTCTGTCGTATTTGTTGCTGCTAGTTAAGGACAGCCCCTCTGCAGGGTCATCGGCATGGCTCTGTGTCACAGCAAAGCCCCCGAGAGTCCCAGAGAGGGTTCAAACATTAGCTCTGCCTGCCTCACAAGCCACACGTTCTTCAAACGCAAGAAAGAGCAAGGGTAAGGATTAAATAAGGTGAAACCAAGGGCTAGACTAACAGCCCGCACTGCTGGCCAAACCAGCATAGAGCAAACGCTCCCTAAATGCTAGGTATGCTGAGCAAAACCACTCAGGGCGTGTATACAGATGCAAGCCCACTGCGGGAGGACATGCTTCGTGCATGCACACCCGCAGACACACGTCCTCTGCTTTCCTCGTATCCACGAGAACCCCAGAGCAGGCTCAGTGCTATGGCCCTGATCCCCAGCA